TAATTTATTGTAAACATGTTTTTTTATTTATAGAAAAAATTGCATATTATAATATATTTTTTGCATATTTTCAAATTTTGATGCATATATCATAATTTTTCCTTGCATATTTTGTCTATTTTAGCTCCTATAAGTTCTCATCCCTACTTATTATAAAACCAGAATTTCAATATCACAATTATTTTGGGAGATATCACAATGGGTAAATCCTCGTGGGACACCCTGTATTATCTATATACTTTTATCTAAAGTTATTCTTTAAATAACAAACTGTTTGTCCACTACTCTGGTTGTCTAAACTTTAGATACTTATAACTCATTAACTACTAGCCCTATTTAGAACATGAAATTAAAACTCTATCTTGTCATTCAAAAAAGTAAAAAACTTAAAAAATTATAAGGATAAAATGGCAAAACGGTATATAAGTGTTCACATTTATATTTATATTTCTGGGCTTTTTTTATGCCTACCACCCTCTTAAGATATTATAATATGTCCACTAGAACGAGTGATTGATTTTGATAAATATTTTTATTTCGACTACCTGATAAAAAATTTTCAAGCAAAACTCTGGATTGCAACTAACTATTGGTTACTATTGATTAAAATTTTTGATTGTTCTTATCACTAGTACATAAGTTTAAGTATTCTTTGTTTTAAAAATAAAATATTATACTCTTGTATGTAGGGGAGAAAGAGGCATATCATATGCATCAGTTTCTTCTCCATCAGGTGCTTCTCGGTCAGATGTCAATGGATCTAAGAGTATTTGATGTGAGCCATTATCAAATAATGAAACATGTTGGTCAGACCTAAGAGTAACTGGTGCATCATAATGTGGAATATATGGCTTGATATCGAGCACTGGAGTACCATCTATCATATCCACTCCAGAAAAATACACAGAATTCCCTAAAATCAAAATACTTTTAACTTTATACTTTTAGAAAACTTTAGTTTTTAAGACCAAAAATAAAATAGTCAAGAGACTTGAGTAGTTAATTTTAAGAAGAGCTGTTGGCCAATAATTTTCTCAATCATGTTCAACATTTATTCCCTTTTACTTATCATACATTATGTACTGATAGTAAATAATGTTAATTTAAATTAAAAAATTAGGTATTTCTAAACATATTTCAATAGTTACCTTCAACTTTATCGATTTGCACTAGAGACAAGCCAATTGGCGAGGGTCGGTGTGGAGATCGAGTGCCAAGTACACCAGTTCGCAAACCATTTAATCTAGGTGGTGATACTTTTGCATGAACATGAGTGGTTTCATTTTTATGAAAATGAAACAAAATCCTGAAATATTTATTGAATATTTTACGTTTGATCAGGAGAATAACATTAACTGTATTTAAATTACCACATATGAGAGAAATCTGAGAGGCCTTCAAGTGCATGGTTAGGATTAGTGAATACAGAGTTGGATATTGTCAGACAAGCTTGAGCTAGAGGACAGAGACCAGGTTGTCGTGGTACACATCTACGTTCTTTAAATTTCGTTTTTATTGTTCCTATAATGGATAGTTCAATTTTTTCAGAGCTGCTAGATATGCTTGGCCCATTTGAAGCAATTAAATCTTTATCATTTAATTGTTTTTTTAAAGACTCGTTCTGCTTTCTAATAAAAAAATAACAACAACTATGATTTGTACTGTAGAACACACAGTAGGTAYTTACTACATACCTCAACAAATTAATTTGGGCTCTTGCAACGGACAACTGTTTCAAGCTTTCAGTGATATCTGTGACATTGTCAATTGTCTCTGAACTGCTCACCGACGCCATCCTATTTATATTTATATATTTTGAAAGTTACAAACTAGCTTTATAATATTTTAATAATATAATTTTGTATAAATATACATAGGTAGTAGGTAGTCATTACGTAGTTACGTACTTTAAAAATTAAAAGTAAATACTACTTTTTAGTTTTTAATCTTGCTTATAATAATCACAGACTTCTATACTATCTTTATATAGAAGTCTGTGATAATAATCAATATTTTGATTACACGGAAGATATTAGATAAGATATTTGTTATCACGAATTGATTAGTGATTACCCATAGATATTAAGAATGATTAGGCCATCATGGCTATCKCTATATTAATAAGAAAATAAAATAGAGGGAAGTGTGCTGGAATGGGAAAGAGAGAAAGACTGTTTTTCTTTTTAAATTTTTATCATTGCCTTTCATTCTGATTTCTGACAGAGGTCTTTATTATATTATTATTTATTATGTATAATAATTATATAAATATATATTTGTGTTAAGACCTCTACAACATAAAAATATTTTCATATTCGTCTCCGTATGATAAACATAAATGGCCTATCCATATTCTTTAATATATACATGATTACCACATTACCACAATAGATTTTTCAAGGTGGATATATCATTATAATAGTGATTTTTCCCGCGAAAATTTGTCTATCATTCTTGCCTTTGTTCTGTGATCGTTATGCACAATGCACTATGCAGAAATCTGTTGGTAGCACAGTCGATTAATATTTTCTGTGATCAAAGGCAGCATAGTGCCATAAATACAGACCATGAACAGTAAGTTCATAACTCAGAACTCTTCGGTACTCAACACTGATATTCAACAATCAACAACTTAACTGTGATTCGATCGCCATTTTATCTCTTTGTGCATACAGACATACAGTGTCCTTGATAGATAGTAGATACAGACGTAGGTGTTCACCCTACCATAATGTATTTAATATCACATTATTCACTTCACATTATTGGATATTTAAATGAAACTATTAACTATGTTTTTATTTTGTTACTTTGTAAGATATAAGTTTGTTTAACGTTTGTGCACTGTGAAATATGGAATGTGGATARWTTATTTTATACTTTAATTAACTTTATAGTGGATAGTGGCCACAAGACGGTAAGTAGTTAAGCAGTCAGTAGATACTGGTCACTACTCACTAGTCACTAGTGGTCAGTGAGAATGACTAGTGACACGAAGTTCGCTAGGCTAAACCGGTTTAAAATTATCCGTACCAAGATGATGATGAATGAACCATGTAAACGATACTAGTTACCTATGTCCAAACTTCCTTTTTTTCATACCGATTTAGTCTAACAAATTAAATTAAATTTAAACTCTATCTGATACTTGTATGTAAATAACTGTAAAGACTATTTAGTATAAATTATAATTATATTTAATCCTCCTTGAATTATGGCCATTGAGTTTTATAAACTTTTTTAGAGGGAGCTGCATTTTTTTTTTGGACTTGAAAGTTAGAAACTAGAAATATGTGTTATTGAAGATTGGATACATGGTTTTCAAATATGGAGAGCGGTAAGATGATTATGAATGGTATTCTATATTGATAATTGTGTTAAGACGCCATTATAAAAAAAATATAGTTTATATTGTTATAATTTCACATTTTTAAACTGATCAACTAACTATCTTTATAAGTACAACACAGACATGGTAAAACTATAGTTGTTGGAACAAATTTTCATCTTTCCAGCTTTAAGATTTTACAACACTTTAATTAATTTATATGTTTCTAACTCTGAAATTCAATCTTTTTTTATATTGTGAATAGCAATGTTTGAAATTCGATTCTGACTACGTAATTTTTAAAATTATTTTTACGAAAAGTATTTTCTATATTATAGAAATATTCCTTTAATAGATTGTGAGTAATGATATATTATATATGGTTTTAGTTGGAAAATAGATTTTCTAATCMTTTAGGTCATAAACACTCAACAGTTAGAAAGCTCTGATAAAATTAAACTTGAAATAGGAATTGATAAAGAAAAACTAGAACTKAACAACATTGGTGTGTGATCACTAAAAATAAAATTAATAACTAATGAAAAATGACAGCATGAGTTATGTAAACTTATTGCGGTGGGAAGATTAGTTAAGATCAATTTTTTGAACGAATAATTTATTCTTAAAAAATAAACTTTATTATTCCTATCCTCCTACATATTTGTATTTAAATTTATTTTTACATTAATTTTGTGTTAAAATAATGTAATCATAGAAGAAGATGTTCTTTTTTATATACATATTTTTTTAGATATTCATACTAGGTACTTAGTAGAATTATGTATGTGTTTTAATAAAAATTTTATAAATTTTTGTCTGAACTAGATAATATTTCAAATGATGAAACTACAAATTGGAAAGGCATTAATAAAAGTTTACTGCCTAGGAGTTTTGGCAAAAAATTGTTCCCATCACTAATACCTAGTCCGGAGCATACACTATTATTCAAGGTATATAATTTAATATATTTGTTGAATTGAAATGTATATAAACAGTTAATATTTAAATTTACAATTTCATAGGTACCAATTGGTATTAATAATATGCCAGAAGCATATCCTAAAGAATATTGTGATACTTGGGATGATAATCATGTAAAGATGCCATGCTCTAAACATAATTTATTTTTAGTTCATCAAAATGACAAAGTATGTATTTATTTAGTGTTTATAAAATTTAATTTAATTAGAATATTCGTMATATTTTAGAGTTCTAAAAAAAATCGTTGGGATATTATCACCTACAGTTTAAATAAACCAATATTGTCGAGTGAAGAATTAGAAAAAGCTATTGTATCATATAATCCCAAATATAAAGACAAATGGCGATTCAATTTACTACATAAATTTTTTGATGAAGTAACCTTTATATTTTTTATAATTAATTATGTATTTTAGTATTTTTACTTTAAGTACTTACACTAATAAATGTCTTTTGACATTTAGTCTTCAACAAATCCTTAGTAATAATGTATTGATTTTTCATTTATAAACTTTTAATTATTAAAAATTATGTTACTATATATAATTATACTAGTAAATATTAACATTTTTGTTTATGTAGTGTTTAAATGAGGAAGAAACAGAAGAATTTTTTAATAATTTACTACCCAAAATCATTAAATTGGCATTGCAATTGCCTACTTTAGTAACTAAACCAATACCTTTGTTGAAACAAACTCATAATCATTCTATATCATTAAGTCAAATGCAAATTGCCTGTCTCTTGGCTAATGCTTTCTTATGTACATTCCCTCATCGAAACGTCTGCAATTCAAAGTCTGAGTATTCAGAATATCCATACATAAATTTTAACGGGTAAATTAATAAATTGAAAAAATCAATTATTTTTGTTTAATCATTTATTTGGCAATCTTGTCGTATGCGGTCTACCGCACACTTGCCGTCTGCCATACATGTTTCTATACATCATATGCGGTCTACAACTATTTAACGGCAATGACGATTAAAGCTTTATTTTAACGATGTATAAATGATATAATACTACTAGCACAGAGGRCTAGTATTATAATAAAACCTGAGTCCAACATAATATGAATTATGAGATAATCAGTTTAGTTTGTGYTGTAATACCACTAATAGCCGAGGTGGCAAGGTAATACCTACGTGATACTGATACATTATTCTGCAATTTATACACTTAGTCATTATGTTAGCCAAACACTTCAATGTAATTATTCAATCAGAGGAAAATACCATAACTTTTTTAAAGGAAAAAGGACTTATAAAAACAATGAACAATATTTCTATACTGARTATAATTTTTTTTCTATGCTAAATATAATTTTTTTGTACCTAATCTAACGTATAAAAAYATGTGTAGTAGACGGCAAATGTGCGGTAGACCKCATAYGACAAGATTACCATTAATTTTTATGTTTCTGATCAGATTTTTCCAATTAATGGTATATTCTTCGGCTGATCACTATTTGTATGAAAAGTTGAAATGTATTATTTGCTATTTTAAAAAGGTGACTAGTGCTAATTCAGGTGAGAAAATCAACCAAATCATTACAGTTATTTAATATAGTAAAATATTATTAACTCATAATATTTAATAGTTGATTTAATGGTCATTTTCAGTTCTTAATGGAATTGTAACCTATTCTAGAAAAAGATTGCCATCTGGGGATCTACCATATTGGTTACAATCAACAAAGAAGTTGACAAATTTGTATATAACTTCTGACGGGACAATAGAAGATAGTGGTGATGGAATGCTTCAAGTGGATTTTGCAAATAAGTGGGTGGTTTTTTAAAAATATTCAACACATAATATTCAAATCCAGATTTATTAAATAAATTGGTTATAAAWAAAAATAATTTTATTTTCTAGATTTATTGGAGGAGGCGTTCTTGGTCATGGTAGTGTTCAAGAAGAAATTCGTTTTCTAATTTGTCCTGAATTATTAGTGTCTCAGTTGTTCTCTGAAAAAATGTTACATACAGAGGCTATTATTATAACAGGTTAATCGAGATAAAAAATGTGTAATTTTTATTTTTTTAAACTAGCTAAATAATTTACAGGTGTGGAGAGATTCAGTGATTACAGTGGATATGCAAATTCTTTTGAATGGAAAGGTGTTCATTTAGATGTTACTCCTGTTGATGACAATAATCGCCGCTATACTACTATTGTTGCGATTGATGCATTGTACTACAATGATCCTAAAAATCAATTTAAAACAAAAAACATAAGACGAGAGCTGCATAAAGTATTTAAAAATTGAGTATTTAATGGCTTTGATTGTTTTTAACCCCCTTGTATTTAGTCATTTGCTGGATTTTCATGGGGACAAGATTCAGAGTGTTCTGATGTTGCTATAGCAACAGGAAATTGGGGCTGTGGTGCTTTTCGTGGAGACTGTCATCTAAAATCATTGTTGCAATTAATGAGCGCTGCTCAAGCTAATCGAGATGTTGCTTATTTTACATTTGGTGATACCAAACTGATGGATTCAATTCATGGGATGCATACATTTTTGAAAAGCAATAACATTACAGTTGGTTAGTAAAATTATGTATTAAAACTAACTCATTATTTTGAAATCTGATTTCGCTTTCGCATATTATTAATTACTTTTAAACCTGGACATTATTGATAATTTCAATTGATCATTAATTTTACAAGACTTATAAAATGTGATTAATCATAAATACAAGATAATCGATTAATTTATTAAACAAAATTTGATTCATATGGTTGAAACTTGTTATTACAAGCAGTAAATGTTATTTTATTGAAGTTYTGAATAATTTTCTATTTTTGCATTTCTTGTTCATTTACTGTTGGGCCACATTGTTCATTGTTAAACTATACACGGTGTCCTGAGAGGAAATATCCATTAGCCATAGAAGAAGACTTGCCATCCGGACAAAAACCAGTTTTTTTTTTATTTATCTCTAAACTAAAAAAAATATTAAAAATCGTGAAATTAATGAAAATAAATGTTTAAAGATCAAAATTTTCAGCTAAATCAACTCTATAAAATAGGTATCTTTATTTTTTTCAAAAATTAAAAGATAAAAAAATAAGTTTTTTAACTTTTTCCGAAAAAATTATTTGAATTAAAAAATAAGGGATATATCGCTTGTCTTTGTGAGTCTAATAAAAAAAAAAAAAACAGATTTATGATATATTTATCATCTCAAGAGAGACAAGAGAAATCACATGTAAATCTTAACGGGACACCTTGTATAATCACAATCTTAGAACCATACTATCTACTTGAAAGGATAATTAATCAATTTTGGGAACGYCACACAACGTAATTTAAATGCTGCACCTTCTTACTTTGGTTCCACTAAGATTCTTTGTTAATTGTTTGTATTCATATATTTTTGTTGTCCTCAGTTTCATCAACATAATATAGTATAATACTCTGTGAGCAGAGAAAATGTGTGCCCYATAATCAAAAGTAATATTCTATTGATAGTTAATATTTATTTATTTGTGTAAAGTTAAAGTAATATATGGTATATATTGTGTTATTAAACATTTCAGATTTCAAATATTTAAAGGCATAATTTTTTTTGAAACAATTATAATTAAAATTATGTGAATTAGCTTTTAGAATATCAACTAAAAAAAAAAACATTGTTTCGTAAAAATTAGAAATTAATAATTTGCAAATACATTCATAAATTAGAAACAGTTATTAATGGGACAAATACTTTATAATATATTGTATATTATAAATTAATAATACTATCAATTTTAGGTGAAGTTTCTAGAATACTTATTAAATACTACGCGTGCTTGGAAACCTTACCATGTGTTGGAGTACATGATTATATTTATGATGCTATTACAAACAAAGCCTGGCAGGTAGGTGCGTAAGAAATATTTTATAACATTTCATGCCCTATGAGTTAATATATGAAATTATATGATTTCCAGGTACTTGAGAATAAAGGATATCAATCTGGAGTATTCCCACAGTGTTCACAGAATCAATTTTTAAGGAATAATTGTAAAGCAGTAAAGTCTAATACTAGAGTACTCCAAGCKTCTAAAAGTTCAAACACGGAATTTGATCAAACTCTAGAACAGTCCCATGAGTGTTCAATATCAACTTCTGCAGAGTCTAGACCATGTTCAAGTTCAAATCTAACAAAATCAACTTCTGAAGAATCTCAGGCTTCAAGTTCTAACATAAAAAGTTCATCTTCTGAAGTGCTCCAGTTCACAAGTTCTAACATAAAATCAGTTCCAGATGATTATCAGTCTCTTTTAACCTTAGACATAGTAAAGTCTATTCCTTATGAGTCTAAGTGTTGTTTAAATACAACTTTAATTGAGTCACCTTCTGAAGAGTTTCGGCTATCTTCAAGTTTAAGGATAATAGAGTCAACTCCTGAAAAACTTGAAGAGGAAATAAAATTGAAACATGTTGATAGTATAGGTGCCAAAGACCATATAAATAAACAAGATATTCAAGATGTTAGGTTTTTGCCTGTAAACCAGTTTAGGTTAAATAACGACAAGGAGCGAACAATGTGTATTAATCAGCAGAAAAACAGTTGGCTACAATTGAATGAWTCCAAAAAAGATTTTCTATCTGCTATAGAAAAATCATCAGTTACAGGGCAGTTGAGTATTCTTAAAAGAGATAGAGAAGAACACAATGGARGAAAAAGAGTAGTTAAACGTAAAATATCCGATTATTTTTCTCCTAAAAGATAATATTGTTCTATTTGTAATAAATTTGATGTATATATTTTATAAATTTTAATTTTCAGTATAAAAACATTAAAATTGATTTTTCAATATTATTTAATATAAACCTAATACAAATGTATAAAAATACTAGACTAATCTGAAGTATTGACAATTTTCGCATAATTCTCAGCGGCGGTTATAAACTCAGGGATATTTCCTTCGTACTTGGACACAATCTCTTTACACGGAGGATTCATATTCGCGTCGGCCATCACTGCCAGTCTCAAATGTCCGCCGTAGTTAATTATTGATAAAGACATGCCTGAAAAGAGCAAAACAAACAGTAAAAAATAATATCATAATTATGTGGCTGGTTTGATTATATTATACTCGACTATAAATAAAAGAAAATCGAGTGAAAAAATTATAAAATAGTGTGGCACGTCTAATTACAATAATTATTATCACRTTACRATTCGTATAAATATTAAACTCACAGACGTTGGCCTGCGGTGGTCTCCAGTATAAGATGGCATCCACCTCTTGGCCCCACAACAGCATTCGGCGCTTACGGTCCAATTTGTGTTCCTCGACGTAGGTGACGGTCAGCGGGAACTTCTTGGACAGCAAGTGCAACCCGTAGCTGACCATCGGCGATGGTAAGAACGACGTGGCCAGGCTGTGGTCGATCTGCCACATGGACGCTATGTACAAGGCCGTCTGGTTTCCGATGGCCTCCTGCAGACACTCCTGCATCTGGTGCAGGCTGTAYATCGGATCACGGTCGGTGTCCATGGGTAGTGGAAGGGCCAGTAGCCCGTTGGTGACCACGTGCCGGTTGTTGAGCTGAAATAGGTTGGCCTTGGACACGAACCGTGTGGTGGTCATCACATTCTTGGGGAATCGGAGCCCAGCAACGGCGAAGTACTCCTGGAGGGCGGCGGCCAACATGGACAGTTGGATCTCGCACGTAGCCGCGCCCGTGTTGTCGTGTATTGTGTTGACCAGGTCCAGGTCGATGGGCCGCGACCAGCACACGCACTTACTACCTTCCGGAGCAGGCATGGCTCCGCGGTCTGAGCCGCCGAAGAATGGCAAAACCAGTTCTCGGATGACGGTGCTTGGCGCATAGTATATGAGTCGGGCCAAATACATGAGCTCGGACACCGAGTACAGCAGCACGTACGTCCAGTACACGTACGTGGACGTGTTCTTGACCATCAGCAGCAAGGTGATGGGCAACCGGAGTATGCACTTGACGAGCAACCACCAGGTGAATGACACCCAAAGGGCTGGGTGGAACGTGTTAACCAGACTCTCGCACATGTACCGGAACCGAATGTCGCGGCGTGTCATTTCCCGTTTCAACTTGTGGGCAAAGTTCCGTTTGGTGGTTTTGTCCCTGGCCGCGGACGCGGTCACGATCACCAGCATGGTGCCAAAAATAAAGACGTTCGGTCGGCGTCCGAACACCTTCGGGTTTTCCAGCGGATCGTATGTGGATACCAGTTCGTTCCACGTGTTGGCACAGATCTCTGACAGGTGTTCGCTGAGTCTGGGTAACGCTGTCGGCGCCTGGTACACGGTCGATAGGATGTTCTGGATACTGTCGGCATCTGCGTGTTGGCCTGACGATGACGACACCGATGCCGCTTCACCGTGTTTCAGGCCACCATCGTCCGGTTTCAATAGCAATAGGTCACTCAACCCGACACCATCCTCAGATGAATACAGGTGATGGATCCGGACTAGAAGATAAAACGAGTCTTCGCTTACCGGGATCATGGTAATCTGCCACTGCGGCAGTTCAGACGGTATATGTGACGCGATTATGTCATTCACGTGTTGCTGTATAAAAAAAAAAGAAACTGTTTTATCGGAAGAAATTTTTTATGTTGAAGAGTCGAAATATACGTTCAAAATCATGAACTGCAATAATGAAATACAATAAAAGTATGTAGGTACAGTGAACATAATATTTTTTATTAAAATTCACACGATCATTACGATTATATATTATTATTACCTATTATATTACCTATATTATATTGACTACTCCAAGCGGATTACATACGAATCATTATTTATAGGCTGTTATCTACACATAACAAAACATTTTACTGATCATTATTATTGAGTCCCAGTACATAATTTTTTGTCCTTTCTTCATCCTTGTAAATGGATTCCCCGGTTGTAGAGTTGTTCTGGTACAAGGCATTAGTCAGTCATGAAAAGCTTATATGCATAGTCAACTGACATGCCTCTTAATATAATGTGAATTATATTATATTTTGTGATTTAAGGCTGGTTGGTGTCTAGCAATCATGATTTTTCGATTAAATTGCATTAAAAACAAGACATATTTGAATACTTTTTCGAAGATAAACTGTGTTAAATTTCAGGAACACGTTTAGTATATATTATTATAAATATTGTACATTTAATTAAGTTATATTAAAATAAAAAATGGCTACTCGTAATAGCCTTAGGGCAGAAATCTAATATACTTCACATAAAAACCTAGCTACTTGATTTTTAATCATAATATTTTAAAATAGCATAAAAAACAYCAAACATGTGTGTAGGTTAGATAGTATAATATTATGAACCATATAATATCATAGGTAGTAGTTATATATGATTTATATTAATTATATAAGCTAACTATAATTTATAATGTAGGTGTGTTAGGAATTATTTTGTTAAGTAACTTATCAAACTCACGTCAAAATAAATTAAACGAAAATATATTTCTTGAGCCATAGAGCTGGGAATGTACCTATTCAGTGTTATTATTACAGTATATCTAGTGGGAGTAAAGGTATACACTTATTTGTCAGTAGATACGGAGAATGTTTGTAACTAAAACAACGAGTTRGTGATGATTTTTATTTTTAATGTATGTGCATTGTACCTACTTAATAATAAATAATTTAATTAAAAATATAAAAGCATTCAAATGACATCTATTTCTCGGATGTTTTTTCCGTTAACTTTGAGTATATCTTTTTAATTTAGGATGAGTTAATGGCAATAAAGAAACTATATAATATCCGAGATGATAGTTTTAGCCGAACTTTTTTGTCGTTTCACTAGCCTGTCCGTATATTAATAGGGACGACTATTGACTAACGAATAATTATGTTTTAAAGTCATCACTCCACTTATTTTATTCAAATTTATTYATCCCTCTGAAAATGTTGAAAAATTAATATTTTCACAAATTTCTACTTCTATATAAATAGCGTTGACTAATATAATATGTTTTTACAAAAATTGCATCTAATAATTTCTTTTCTTATATAACAATTCTTTTTTTACTGTTTGACACTATATGTTACTATATCAAAATTTTACTTAAATCATCGATAAAAACGGGTTGTACTGGGACCTCTGAAAACTCAAAACTAAGGAATGAATTGAAATCATTTCGATCACTGTATACTAGATAGGTAATAAATACCTAGACAATATATCATTGCCATATTATTATATTAGTGTATTAAAATAAAATATTGTTATAATTGTTGTTTGTTTATTTTTGGTTTAACGTCATCGGATTGAACTTTAAACCTTGTTATACATATAATTTGATATGAATTATCATAGCAATAATACGATTGAATGAGTTAATTGTCTTAAAACTTGAATTGTATAATATAGATTACCTTTATTATTGTTATTTATTATATTGATAAACAAGCTAATATTAAAAATGTTTTATAGTTGGCGTATAATAATAAATTGAGACATTTTGTTTGGTTGTCATCGCACCTCACTTCTATACTCTAACCTATTCTATTCTATATATACAATCATAGGATGATAAGTAGCACCTAATATATTAAATACATTCTGGGTTATTCATTGCTCGCTTACCCTCTTTTAGATTCTGAACGAAGTGATGAATGTATTGATTTTACTATGATGTGTGTTTTTTTTTTTTGTGTCTGTACAGCATAACTAGTCGAAATAATGCTTCAATTTCCAACTTTAGGGGTGGTTTCCGTAAAATAATAAAATAATAAAAGTGAATATTCTTGGTGCATTATAGAGGTCAAAAGTAAACATTTTCCAACAGTTTTCAAAAAAATCTAGAAAAACAAAAAAAAAATGACAGAAAAACGGGAATTTTTACGCAAAA